GCTACTCTCTACTTCTTTTCCAGACAAATTCTGCAAATAAAGTTTATTTATCAATTTTGGAAATAATCAATATATTTAATGTTTTCTTTTTGCGTAAAATAAGATTTTATATAATACAACAATGAAAATAAATCAGTATATACATAAGTTATAAATTTATAAGGAAACATGCTGTTCATGAATTTTTTGGAATCTATAATTAAGCATTACGTAAAAGATTTGCAAGTAAATTTCTCTACAATATTTGAAAAGCACATTTTTTATTTATATTAATTATTTTATGATTTATAACTGATATATTAACAAAAAATGAAAAGGATTGATGAATGATAAATCATAAGTTCTTGCATATAATAGAATGCACTGAATTAGAATAAACTTTAGAGAATACTACAAACCTTATTGATTTTTTTAAATTTTGTATTCTCAAAGATCTTAATGATATTTCCTTGAAAAAGTATCATAAAAGTAAAAACTGAAAACTTACTTGTATTTCCATTATAATTATTTGTCTCTTTTTAATGTATCTCAAATAGCCTATTTCAAATTTCAAGACTTTTCTAACAATATTTCGATAATGAGTACGTCGATTTCGAGCACTGTCCAAGTAGTATTGTTACTGAAATAAAAGAGACGCAAATGTAAAAAATACTTTCCACAAATATCTTCAGTTTTCTGAAGATTACGTCTCTGAATCTTACATTAATTAAGCAATGTTAATTGAAGTAATACTTATACTTACTTGATTATAGCCACTGATGTTCTTCATCGACGACCAAATCGTTCGTTATAAATAATGTTCTTTATAAACAACCAAACAACCTCTCCTTCACTCTTCTTTTGTTCTCTGATGTTCTCTTCTTTTGTTCTCACATTTGACACTCCCTATTAGGGTATATTCAGATACACAAACTTGCATATCGTATAAGTCAGTGCTCAGAATTATTTCAGCTTTTCAGCCGATTCTCGCGGCACACACCTTCTTTCCTCTTTTACCGCGCGCGCCGCAGTCGCTAGGACCAGCGCCGCCGAGCGTTAGAAGCG